AAACCGGTCAATAGATAAAGTCCAGAATCTGGGAAATAAAAGAAGGTAAATATGGAAAGACTCTCGCCGAAATTCTGGTCAGAGCAATTTTTCTTATGTGAGATGAACGGAAAATTTTTTTTCTCAACTTTATAGAGATTTGTATGGAGACGCCATGCTGGTGCCCATCCGTATGGGCACCAACATGGCAGCCGGAAACCAACACAAGCATCTGTCACTGAGTTTTGCTACAAAAGCGTGAATTTATCCCTCGAGGAACTCTAAAACATTAAAAAATTGCTTTTTCTAATACATAAACTGTTCAGATAGCCAAGTTCCCCGAAATAAGTCACTTTTTTAACCATCATGACAGCTCTCTAGGCCATCATGTGAATGCCGCGTCACGCAAAGCTTAGAAATTCAAGCGTAGTGTATCACAAAACCAAGAACCCATTCGGAGCGAAAATTTTTATGAATATTAGTTTCCAGCTGCTCTTATACATCATTAAATACGGCCGTTGTTGATGTACGCTAAAATCAATACCGTGACTAGCACGAGAGCTCAGGAATACCACTAAAATTGTCAAATCAACATGCATGACGCAATGACGAATCTAGATCTTAACGTTGCCTGGCAATTTCAGTGACAAAAATCACCCCCTCGACAGTAATTGGTGTGGGAGGCGCACTGGCCTCACGGTTAGTGTGCTCGACTCCGGAGCAAGCGGTCTCGGTTCGAGCCCTTACTAGGGACATTGTGTCGTTCTTCGGCAAGACACTTTACTCTCACAGTGCCTCCCCTCACGCAGGTGTGTAAATGGGTATTGGCAAATTTAATGCTGGGGGGGAGGGTAACCCTGCGATGGACTAGCATCCCATCCGGGGGGGAGTAGAAATACTCCTGGTCGCTTTATGCTTCTGAAACCGGAATAAGCTCCGGCCTGATAAGCCACTTCGCTCGTATGCAGACCTAACCTACCTACCGACAGTAGTTGGTATATGCTCTTCAACTTTAGAAATTAGGTACATTTAAAGTTTTCATAAACGATAAGAAACCAGAGGCCAAAATCTTTTGTGAAGTGACTGTTAAGGCTACCCACATATGGGTTTCAGGCTATAATTTTCTATACAGCTTTCTATCCTATAGGTATACACAAACTGATTAATCATCCCGCGAGCTCCAACTTTTTAAAAGCGTTTTTTTCGAGGATCATTCTTTCCAGAAGTCGATGTTTCAGGCACAATTTCCGTATAACCCCATACACTTATTATGCATAAGTTTTTTAATTCAGTTCACAGGAACCAAAGCCAGAACAGAATATCCCTTTTGGTCTTACGCTTCTTTTTTTTTATTTCATTTTTTAATTTATTATTATTATTATTTTTGTTTTCATTTTTTCGAAGTCCATATCAATAAATTCCGAAAAAAACAGAAAACAAAAGAGGAACTACTCCTTGATGCATTACAATGTGAAGATGACTATATTGCAGTCTCCCAACTGACACAGAAGTTTTCTTTGCTTTCGGTTACCTGCAGTTTTTCCTATAACTGCTTATTTGTAACTATTTGTAATTTTGCTGTAAATTATTATTACTTTTTTTCTTTCTTTTCTTTTTAATATAAACTCTTGTCCCCGCCTTCATTAGCTCTTGAACTAGTTGCGGGGACAAGCAGTTGTAACTGTATGTAAGAAAACAAAATTAAATTAAATTTCAAAGTTTAAAGCTCATCACCTTTTCCCGAAACTGTCTGATTTTAAGTCCAAAATAGGGAAAATCGAGACAAAGCCCGGCGACTTTTGGCTCAATAGAAAGTCACATTTATACGTACATTGCTGCTTCACTGGCTGGGCCAATACAAGACAGAAGGTTGAAAATCAAAATATCTGCACATAAAAATAAAATCCCCAGCTTATCAAGTGATATCACAGATCGCGACCTTGTTACATCCATATACACTGAAAACAAAAGTGGCCTCCTCGTGTAATACCATAGAAAAACAGTGATCGCCTCAGGACCACATGTACATGAACCTTTTCTGACAGAGAACGACTGGGGCTTTACTCCTTTGTGCGTCAGACAAACTGCATTCCTTGTCATTCCACTTCCCTATTCTGTCTGAAGCTGCATACATGTGGCCACATTTCTCTTGCACATGACTCGGTTGCCCGCTTGCCCATGCGGAAAACTGATGACCCTCTAGCGGAGTATCATCGATCCAGTAGAACGCATCTCCAGCAGACGGGTTTCTGTAAAGACCGAGCCATGCACCATAATATGTTACCGTTTTTTGCTTCTTTAACAAATCAAGAGCAAAGTTATTCTCATCTTGTGATCTGATGATAGCGAGGTCTCCTCCCAGATTCTGGCAAGTAGCTCGAGCGTCTCTCCATTTAGCGGTCGGAGTGTCGATGATGTGGTAACAAGAATTTCCGTGAAGAAGCCAATCTTGCGGACAACCTATTCAGGGTAAATACAATAAAAGGGTGTACAATGTAACTCAACTTAGAAATGTTCAAAAATAAGAGCAATTTCAAAGTGACCTTGAAATAACTACTTATTTTATACAAACAACAATCAACTAGGAAGAAGCAATTTGATTGACTAAGCGAGAGGAGCACGGGTATTGGTCGGTTTTGGAAACATGCAAAGAAGAGCGCACGAATTTGAAGTATAGGCATTCCCTTTGACGTCACTCCCTTGTCATCAGTTCCTCACTGATCAGTCGCAGCGGAAGCAGAAGAGCTCGATAAAATGGCCAAAACAAGCTAAGAAGGCCATGATAACCACGAAATTCACTCACTCTCCGCTACCTGTACTATTTCAACTAGGTTGCTTAACTTTGAAAGAGACGCTTCCTTCATCCCAGTCTCCTTTGAATTTTTTTCTTGTGACGTAGGCTAATACGTATACAATCATGACAATGCAGACTTTCAGGAAACTAAACAATTTCTTCAGCATAAAATTGGAAGTAAATCCTTAAGGAAAATGATCTGGGCATGACTCAGGTCTTAATTGAGTGGGCGGGATCAGAGCTACGTATTACGTAAACGACGAAGTTGTTGCACGTGAGGAGTCTGCGATACTTAACTTCACACCTGATAATATTCGGGTAACAGAAGGTCGCACTTTAAGATGAACGAAAACTTGACACTGAATGTGGCAGTAAAACTTACTTGAACGGTGGCTTTACCGGTGCCCCTTAAAAGTAATAATTCAGGTGGCACTAATAGTGGTACTTGTGGTTTCAAGTAGCAGTTCTCGATAGGTTGTAATTTTATTTTTTGTCATAGTGTAACAGCTGTTACGTATTGTTTTAGGGCTCGGGGCCAAATAATCTGGTTCTTTTTTTCTCAGAAACGAGTACCGGGACCTAACGATTTTTTCATTTAGTTTGAAAGCAGCGGACACCTTGTTTCTATACAGTCAATATAGACCAATTTCTATTCCGAATCAATAAAGAATTATCACTAGAAATGAGAGCATAGCTAGCACTTGTTGGAAAAGAAGAGGGTTGGGAAACGGCTTTCATAGCATGTGTGGACAAAGTAGCCGCTACAACAGAATACAAATTGCTTCAGCTACGCCAATACTTATCTGGCGAAGCATTAAAGGTCGTGGAGCCTTTGGGACAAACGGCGGCAGCTTATGAGACAGCAAAGGAAAGATTAAAACGACAAACGATGCGGCAAACGGCATCCGATTGCTTTGCGTATAGAAGAATTAGTGAGATTTAAGCCACTTCGCCATGGAAATGCAAGGGACCTCGACAGACTTGCATATTTGTTAGACGTTACAGTAGTATAAACCTAAAGGAGGTTGCTCGACATGAAGAACTAGAAAGCGGATCGCTGTACCTATAAAAGGAAGGCAGAAGCAATGCTGGCGCATTATCATCGCTGGATTCATAAAAATGGT